CCCAAACTCATCTATGCGAAGCTTCAGCCTCCTATTTTCTTCCTGAAGAAGTAGAATCTCCTTCTTCAACACTTAAACCTGAGATTCTAAAACACTACAACAAGCCATGGTGCTTGGTAACAGCCGACGCTAACTCCCAAGAACTTAGGCAGGTATGACCGCAGGTGATCACTAACCTCAGCGTACCGCCGGGTACCGGACCTGTCCGCCAGCCTGCTCTGTCCACGTCCCCATGCAGATGTCGTGAGCAGTCTGGCTTTGTTGATGGTTGAGTGAACAGTAACCTGCGAGCTCATTCAAACATTTCACTATTAACCCTTTCAGGGTCGACAGGCCCTCTCAGAGACTTGTTCTCAGGGTCGCCCAAATTTCAAAAAAAAAAAAAAAAATTTCTTATGAAAAGGCAAAGAATTTTTTCCCGATCATAATGACACCAAAAGTATGAAATTTGATGGAAAACTTACGGAACTATGCTCTCGCGAAGTTAGCGGTCTCGACAATGTTTACGCATCGGCGATTTTGCCCACTTTGAGCCCTATTTTCTGCCAATTCCAGTGTACTTGTCGACAAAAATCATAACTATTTTGCTAGAACTCCATTTTTTCTATCGAATGAGTACAAGAAACCACCCATTTACCGATTTCAACTATCCAGTACAGTGGTCAGAATTTAGCAATTTTGCCAATTTCACACAAATTTCAAAAGATGCCAATTTCTGAATAGGGTCCAGAATAAACAAGAAAGACATTCCTGGCACTAAAATAACATTTCCTCTGTTCATTAGTCACGTCCCCACGCCCCTCTTACATTCTTTTGCTTCCCACTTTGAATTTTTATTCTCACAAAAAAATAGAAGATTTACTGTTATGCAGACTACTGCATTGGTGTAGAAATGGTATAAATAATATCAGCGCACTTGTGAAAGAATATTAGACTCACCAGCTGACGTGTATTGGACGCTTAGCATGATTTGTTTACTTTTGAACTTTGGTAAAAATTGAACATTTCTGCTACTTTGAGCTCAATTTCCAGGTACTTTTCAAAATCATCTCAATTTCTGTAATATGTCTTCCATTCTATAAAATGAGACCAGGAAAACTAGAATACAACAATAAATACCATACGAAAATACAGTGCAAAGTCGCTGTTTTAATCCAAAAACACGGTCAAAGTTTTTGTTTCTCATTACGCACTGTGTGCTGCAGGATTTTTTTTTATACCACGCACACTGACCACATAGACCCATTCTTTCATATGTAGGCCTACCGGCTTTCTCTCGCTAGATTTGAGGGTGCTAGAATTTAGGCGTACTAGTACGTCAAAAACCCTGGTGCGTAAGCCGTACTAGTGATGCCGAAACCCTGAAAGGGTTAATTCATTGTGTTTAGTGCTTGTGCAACTGTGAAATAGGCTACCATGAGTGCAAAGAAACTTGCTAGTGGTACCCCTTTGGTGAAGAAAGTGAGAAACACCATAGACTTGAAGAAGGAAATAATACAAAAATATGAGAGTGGTGTGAGACTTGTTGAGCTTACCAGGATGTACGGCAAAAACAAGTCAACCATCGCTTCTATCCTGGCAAAGAAAGAACAAATCAAGGAAGCTGATGTTGCAAAAGGTGTTGATATGCTAACCAAAAACAGACCACAAACAGTCAATCAGGCTGAAAAGTTGTTGCTGGTGTGGATCAAGGATAGAAAGATGGCAGGTGTTAGTGTTTTGGAGATGATTATTTGTGAAAAGGCAAGGAAGTTGCATGTCAACCTGGCAAAGAAAACTCCTGGAACCAGTGAAGCTAAGGCCAGCAAAGGCTGGTTTGAAAAATTTAAGAAGCGTAGTGGCATACACAATGTTGTAAGGCATGGTGAGGCAGCCAGTTCAGACAAACGGGCAGCTGAGAAGTTTGTACAGGAGTTTAAGGAGTACGTAGACACTGAAAAATTAAAACCACAACAAGTGTTCAATTGTGACGTAACAGACCTGTTTTGGAAGAAAATGCCAAAGAGGACCTACATCACACAGGAGGAAAAGGCACTCCCAGGACACAAGCCTATGAAAGACAGGCTAACTTTTGCTCTGTGCTAATGCTAGTGGTGATTTTAAAGTGAAGCCTTTACTTGTGTATCACTCAGAAAATCCCAGTGTTTTTAAGAAAAACAATGTCATTAAGAACAAGTTATGTGGAAAGCAAATAATAAGGCATGGGTCACAAGGCATATTTTCAAAGAGTGGGTCCATGAAGTGTTTGGCCCCAGTGTGAGAAAATATCTCCTAGAAAATAATTTGCCACTCAAGTGCCTCCTGTTAATGGACAATGCTCCTGCACATCCTCCAAGCTTGGTAAACCTACTGTCTAGGGACTATAGTTTCATCACAGTGAAGTTCTTGCCTCCTAACATCACTCCTCTCCTCCAGCCCATGGACCAGCAGGTCATTTCTAACTTCAAAAAACTTTACATTTGGTGAAGAGTTTGAAAAGTGCTTTGAGGTGATCTTGGACACTCAGTTGACCCTAAGAGAGTTCTGGAGAAATCACTTCAATATCTACACCACCCTAAGCCTTACAGGTAAGGCTTGGGAGGTAGTGACTTCCAGGACTTAGAACTCTGCTTGGAAACAATTGTGGCCAGATTGTGTCCAAAAGAGGAATTTTGAAGAGTTTGAGGCTGATCCTGACACTGACTCTGCTGACCCTGGGGCTAGAGGTGAGTGGCGAGGATGTGGAAGAGTTGGTGGAGGACCACCGGGAAGAGCTAACCACTGAAGAGCTGGAAGAGCTTCATCTGGAAAAGTATCAGACCACAGCTCAGGAACTTGCTTCAGAGGAAGAGGAAGAGGGAGTGGATGAGGTGCCTCTTCAAAGATTAAGGAGATTTGTGCCAAGTGGAATGATGTGCAAATGTTTATGGAGAAGTATCACCCTGAGCAAGCTGAAACAAGCCATCTTTGCAACAAGTTCAGTGACAAACCATGTCCCAATTTAGGGAAATCTTAAGGAGGTGCCAGAAACAGAGGACTGTGGACAGTTATTTTGTGAGGCAGGGGTCCAGTGACTCTCAAGCTGGTCCTAGTGGCATTAAAAGACAGAGAAGGGAAGTAACCCCAGATACCTAAAATACTTATGGAGGGGGATTCCTTTTCCAAACACTAACCCCAACTCTCTCTCTCTCTCCTCCCTATCTTCCAGATGCCATCACCAATCTTCAATAAAGGTAAGTAAAAAAGTTATTTTATATGTTCATTTAAATTTATTACTAACTGTACTATGTACATATATGTATGTATGTTGTGTGTATGTAAAGTAATAATGTAATCTCTATAAAATATTTTTTTTTTGTGAATATTTTTGGGTTTCTGTAACGGATTAATTTTATTTCCATTATTTCTTATGGGAAATATTGGTTCGACTTTCAGACATTTCAACTTCAGAACTAGCTCCTGGAACGGATTAAGTTCAAAACTCGAGGGTCCACTGTACAAGCAAATATATACAAACCCCTCTGGGTTTTCTTCTATTTTCTTACTAGTTCTTGATCTGGTTGATTTCCCCTTACCTCCATGGGGAAGTGGAACAGAATTCTTCCTCTGTAAGCAAAGTGTGTCATCAGAGGTAACTAAAATGCAGGGAGCAAGGGGCTAGTAACACCTTCTCCTGTATACATTACTAAAGTTAAAACGAGAAACTTTTGTTTTTCTTTTTGGGCCACCCTGCTTCGGTGGGATACTGCCGGTTTGTTGAAAGAGGATGTACTTGGAAAGTACTCAAGGGCCTGATCCCAAATCCACACTGCCATAACAACATACAGGGGTGTGGTGGGAACCATAAGGGAACACTGTATCAACATCCATGGCCCCAGATTATTTAACTTTTACCAGAAGATATCAGAAACACTGCTGGAACAACTGTACAAGTCTTCAAAAGGAAGCTGGGCAAGTATCTTCACCAGGTGCCAAATCAACCAGGCTGTGATTGATATGTGGGGCAGCAGGCCTCAAGCAGCAACAGCCTAGCTGACCAGGCTAGCACCAGACAAGCTTGGCCCATGACCAGGCTCCAGTAGAAACTCTTGAAACTCATCAAAGGTATGTTTGTCTATTATATGGTATGTAGTGTGTTTCTTATATAATTTTGCAAAACATGTCATAGATGGATTAATGAAAATGTTTATAATAGCATAAATATACAATATTTGTAGCATCCCAGAGTGACATTTTTTCTGTGTTATTGCATCAACACTACTAGTGAGACACTTTCTTAGCTATTCCCTCACTAGACATACCCTCTACTTGTAACTGCATTTTAAGTAAGAGTCTTCAGATTCCTATTTTTATCACAACTACTCTTAGATGCCACTGTTACATAAAAATAGTACATGTAATAAATATAATAACTTTAAAATGCTTGAAATTTTGAAAAGTTTCCATACAGAATCCAAAGACATGGAACTCTCAGAGGGCACAAACAGAAAGAAAATGGTATGTGGATGTCCAGCTGCCATAATAATGAATCAGGTGCCATATAAAGGAACAATTGGGTATAACTAAAAACTGCCATATTAGTGAATCATCGAGAAGCATAGAGCCATAAGCCGGAGCTCACCTGTACTTACCTCAAAAATTAATTTAAAACATCCATTATCTTACACCTGCCAAAATGAAGACAGAAGAATAAACATTGTAATTGTTAACATTTAAAAGAAGAAGCTTTCACCAAATGATGATATCCATGAGACCATCCATTCAAAGAAGAAAAGTTTCTCAACAGAACAAGGTATCAGTGATGCCTTTTCCATTACCAAAAATTTGTCTATGACTTCAAGATGATGACAGGAGCCTTTAACTTAAACTTTAACTCCACTTCATATACAGTATTTATATTTCAAATTAATTTTATCAGCAATAAACAAAATTAACAACTGTGTACAGCCCTACAAAAAATGAAGAAATATATGTACATAAATATAAGTTAGTGCATTTCCACGTCAAATCACCTCACTAACCTTTCCTTTAACATCAAGAATGTATATAGCTGATATAGACATCCTGCTGTAGATGGGTCGTACACAGGTACCCTCTACTGCATATTTCACTCCTGTCAGAAAAATAAGTCCAATACCACAGTAAAACATTAAGTTGACATGTATAAATTACCTGAACTACTTCTAGCATTCTAATTTTTAAAATAAATTTAGTGGTTTTTAGAATAATAATAGGTAGCAGCAGCAATAAATAATAAAATATATAGTATATGTACATATATATATATATATTATAATAATAATAATAAAAAGGGTAATATTAGACAACCACTCCCTAGTGGAAATTAGTCATTTATCACTGCATAACTTGAATTGTACAACATTAAGCTTATTTTGTAGTTTATAAGAACATAAAAAAGAAGGAAGGAGCACTGCAGCAGGCCTACTGGCTGATGCGAGGCAGGTCCAAGTCCCCTACCAGCCTAAGCCACTGGTTCAAGCTAATCAGGTCAAAGTCACATCCACCATTCTTGTTGTTTAAACAGTAAAAAAAAACCTAACCTAACCCACCTCACTCAGCCTAACATAACTTAAACTTACCCTGTCATTGGTAGATAAGCATCATCATTTACATTCGCCCAGAAGTGTGGCGTGACTTAATACCGAGCGCTGACTGACTACATAATTTTATTCAGGTATAGGTACACATAAATACAGTTACATAAATTATCATACATAGCAGCACACGTGTAGATTACCTTGGATAACCCAAAAAAGTCAGACAAAGTGACAGATAAAGATAAGATAAAGATTTATTTCTTTGCAGAGGTTACAATGTTTAATTACAATTTTGGTTTGCTAAGTACAAAGAAAGTCACTATCATGCTGGGGCATTTTGGGCAAACTAATCCTAGTACACAGTAATTACTTAAAACTAGACAAGACAATAGTGGTTAACTTGATTACACTTTTATTTAATCTTAAAATTAATGCGAGGTAGTCAAGGTGGAAGTTTGTAAGAATAATAATCTTGTAGTTGCACATAATAAAGAATAATATTACAATTAATGATTCTGACAGTAATATTTCATGGATTGGTAGGTGTTTAATAGCCTAGAGGTCACATAATATAACTAATTAGAAGTTGTTTTGGTTGATCTGGATAGTACTGTGATATAAGATGATTTTTTAGCAAAGTCCTAAATTTATTAGTCAGAGGATCCTTTACCGGTTCCAGTAGATTATTATTATTATAATCAAAAAGAAGCGCTAAGCCACAAGGGCTATACAGCAGGTTCCAGTAGAGAGTTACAGATCTTTGGTCCCTTTATGTGCATAGTGTTTTTGTACAGGGAGAGACTGACACGAGGGACACTGAAGACTGCCTTATGCCTTGTATTGTACTGTATTGTACTGTATTTTCAATTCAATTCAATTCAATTCAATTCAAAGTTTATTCTCTATAAGGATTACAATGCTGAGTTTACAGAAATTTGGTTATTGTGTGGTTTACATGTAGTAAAATAGTGATTACAGAGTGTACCACTAGAACGCTTAGCATGGCTAGGCATTTCGGGCAGACTTAGTTTTATTCTTAATTGTAAAATATTACAAATTATGAGGTAAGTTGGTATTATGGCTAAGTGACTAAATACTAGTTTGTGAGTTTAGCAATGTGAATACTTTTGTTTTGGCACAGTACATAGTTTCAGTATTGGAGTATCACAGGATTCATTATTTTAAGACTGAGATTAATATTTCTGTTTATGGTCAAATGAGTCAGTGATTGTAAGTGTGAACCACCAGGTGGTATTCATGTAGTTAGTTGACAGGGTGTATCAGGGAGATAAGATGTTTTCTAATGGTAGTTTTGAAGGTGATGAATGTGTCTGCAGTTCTAGAGTTCTCAGGTAGGGTATTTCAGATTTTAGGGCCTTTGACATACATTGAATTTTTGTAAAGGTTTAGTCGGACACGGGGAATGTCGTAGAGATGTTTGTGTCTGGTGTTATGCCTGTGGGTTCTGTCACAACTATCAAGAAAGCGTTTTAGGTCAAGGTTGATATATGTATTAGAGTTTAAGGCCCTGTAGATGTAGATTGCACAGTAGTAAGTGTGGATGTACTGAACAGGGAGTAAGTTTAGGTCTATGAAGAGTCGGGGGGTGTGTTGTCAGGGATGGGATTTAGTGATTATTCTTACTGCAGCTTTTTGTTGGGTTATTATTGGCTTTAGGTGTGTTGCTGCAGTTGATCCCCAAGCACAAATAGCATAGGTGAGGTATGGATAAATAAGTGAGTGGTATAGTGTGAGAAGGGCATTTTGCGGCACGTAGTATCGTATCTTGGAGAGGATCCCAACCGTTTTGGATACTTTTTTGGTTATATGCTGGATATGGGTGCTGAAATTCAGGTTGTTGTCAAGGTTTATAAGCCTAGGAATTTGCCCCCATTATTTCTGGTAATTAGAGTGTTGTCAATCTTAATGTTAATTTGTGCATCTCCTGCTCTGCTACCAAACATAATATAGTAGGTTTTGTCAGTGTTAAGCGTAAGTTTATTGGCTGTCATCCAAGTCGATATTTTGATCAGCTCCTCATTCACAGTGGTGTTGAGGGTGGCAAGATTAGGGTGAGAGATGACATAAGTCGTGTCGTCAGCAAAGAGAATGGGTTTCAGGTGTTGGGATACGTTTGGAAGGTCATTGATGTATACATGAGGAAGAGCAGAGGACCAAGGACACTTCCCTGCGGAACTCCAGTATCAAGTGGCCGTGTTGCTGATGCTGTGTCTTTAATGGTGACATACTGATACCTATTAGTAATGTAAGATTTGAAATAAGCAAGTGCATGGCCTCTTATACCGTAATGATCAAGTTTGTGGAGTAGGATGTCGTGGTCTACTGTGTCAAAAGCTTTTCTTAGGTCAATAAAAATTCCTAGTGGATATTCCTTATTTTCCAATGCTGTGTAAAGCAGATCTAGCATTTTTATGATTGCATCATTAGTGCTTTTATTTTTCCTAAATCCAAATTGGCAGGGGTTGAGTATGTTTTGTGCCGTTATAAATGAATACAGTCTCCTGTGCACGAGTTTCTCAAAGATTTTGGATAGCAATGGTAAGTTTGATATTGGCCTATAGTTGTTTAAGTCTGTAGGGTCACCACCTTTATGTATTGGTGTAACCCTTGCCGTCTTGAGTAGTTTCGGGAAGGTGCTAGTTTCTAGTGACTTGTTAAAGAGTAATGAAATAGCATGCGAAAGGACATGGGCCGCTCGCTTGTACAGTAATGGTGGGACGTGAGACAGATTCCCCGAGTTATTTTTAAGTGACTTTATAATCTCGGTGACTTCCGTGGGCTCAGTTGGTGCAAGATAGAAGGAATTAGGGAAATTCCCATCTAGGTAGTCCCCGGCATGGGCATTGGTATGTGGGATTTTACTGGCGAGATTAGATCCTATGGTTGAGAAGAAGTCGTTTATCTTGTTAGCTGTGTCAGTGGGATGCTTGGGACTAAGATGTGTTGCACTACCAAAATGCACTATTTTCACTGTCTCCCAAAACAATAATTGCACATGAAATACTTACTTATTTGCCGATGTATGTATTGTAAAGTGTAAAGTAATGTCCGAGTTCTGCAGAGTAGATGTAAATTGCAGCCTAAAGATGTGTTAAATCCGTATGAATCAGGCGACTGGATAATGTACGGTAATCAGGTTTGATCCAAGGAAGGAGACGGTAGCTCTAATTTCTTGGGGAAAAAGAGTCCTTCATCAGTATCAAGCCATCCTCCTTTCAGGAATGGAATAATGTAGTATAGCTTACCTGTCAACTAATATAAATCTGTTGGCTGTCCTGGGCTGATGTTTACCAATGCATCAGACAAAAGCAATGGATAACTCAAAATACAATTTGCGATTAACAAAACTATATTTTTATTATTTAGCTAATAATATTTTATAAGCATAATATTTCTAATAACTTTTTAGTAATAGTGATATATTAATAATTGTATTAAAAATATTATTGTCCCATTAACAGTTACAAGGACATATTAAACTTAATTTGAATCGCTAATCTTTCGAGTCGGGAACTCGATTACTTTCGCCGCCGTGAGAACCGTGGAGAAGTATAGATAACAGACTCTCATTTCAGCTGAATATATTTTCCTCTTCCATTTATTTTGTTTATTCAGTAATATAAATTAACTTATTTTGTGAATTTATTAATGTAGGTTTATCCTAAATATTTAAAATAGAAGAAACCTCAAGTATGAGCAAACCTTGAGATACAATTTTAATCGTATATTTGCAACGCTAAATCAATTGCATATTAAAAATAATGAATTTATCATTTTAATTTGTCAAAATTACTTGACAGAAGCATTTCGCATTGCTCAATAATAAAGTAATATAATATTACTGGATAAAAAGTTCTCATATAATAAGACATTTAGATCGTAATCTAAGATGCTCAATTATTGCTTGAGTTTCCCTTGTTGGTCCTTATTCAAGACTGGGAAGTACACATACACAAGTGTGAAAATAGATAATATTTATTTGTTTCTCTATTTTTGTAAGTTAGTCAATTAATCTCAAACACAGTGGGATTCCTAACGTTGTTTTCGTTATACAAATAATGTTGTGGCATCATTTTCGTGCATAATGTGCATGTGTCCTTTGATTCCGCCTGGTAGACCATACCTTACTGTTACCTGGTAAATACACATAAATGACAGGTTAAATTATGTCAGTGGACAGGATTTTCACTTGCATAACAGAATAATAACAGTAGTGACTCGTTAGAGAGGTCACAAGACTGGTTCCCTAGTATCTAGAAGACATTAATTGTGATTTACGAGGAACTCCAGTGAAAATAAGTCAAACTGACGGATAATCTTTGATTAAATCTAGATAGTGTACCTTTTTGTGCCCGTAAAATATTTCTCCTCAAACTACTGTAAAGAACATTTGTATGCTATGCACATAAAACCTAAGTAAAAAAACACTTATGTGGATATCACAAATAATTAAGTTTATTTAGGTGCAGGTACACACATGTACAATTATCATACGTAGCTACGTATAAATTACCTAGGATAACCCGAAGAAAGTCAAACAAACTAATGTATTTCCATTGGAGTCCTTGTGATAACTTATTTTTTAATGCTTAGTTGTAAGTTACAGTAGAATTCAGTCACAGTTATAACCAGGCCCGGTGGCCTGGTGGCTAAAGCTCCCGCTTCACACACGGAGGGCCCGGGTTTGATTCCCGGCGGGTGGAAACATTTGACACGTTTCCTTACACCTGTTGTCCTGTTCACCTAGCAGCAAATAGGTACCTGGGTGTTAGTCGACTGGTGTGGGTCGCATCCTGGGGGACAAGATTGAGGACCCCAATGGAAATAAGTTAGACAGTCCTCAATGACACACTGACTTTCTTGGGTTATCCTGGGTGACTAACCCTCCGGGGTTAAAAATCCAAACGAAATCTTATCTTAACATTAAAACACATGTGCAATATCTGGATGTATCTATTGTAGACGTTTTGCCATCCAGTGGCTTTATCAATACAAATTCTAGGACATAATTTGAAGACAGTAGAACTATATACAAAAGATGAGGTGATCAATCCCTCAGCCTTGGAGTTGGTGTGAAGAGCACCATAGTCGTGAAGATTCTTCAAGACTATGGTACAATAAAGATACCCAAGTTTTGCACATGTCTCATTCATCAACACAAATACAGTGCAGTATAAAAGCATTGATACGATTTTTAAGATGCTGCTAATCACTTGGAGAATGGTTCATCATGTGGTTAAGACCATTTAAGGTGGCTCTTTTTTTTTCCTGACAAATAAATTAAATAACCATAGCACTTATTAATTGGATAATGCAGAGCTTAAACAAAGTGAAAAAAAAAAAAATGTATCTAAGAGTTCTGGTAAGCAGAAATCTAAAAGCAAGGCAACTGAAGATTAATCAGATTACAGTGGACCCTCAGCTAACGATATTAATCCATTCCTGAAAGCTCATCGTTAGCTGAATTAATTTTCCCCATAAGAAATAATGGAAATCAAATTAATCCGTGCAAGACACCCCAAAGTATGAAAAAAAAAAAAATTTTACCACATGAAATATTAATTTTAATACACACAAACTGACACTTACCTTTATTGAAGATCTGGTGATGATTGATGGGATGGGAGGAGGGGAGAGTGTTTAATTGTTAATGTTTAGAAGGGGGATCCCCTTCCATTAGGACTTGAGGTAACAAGTCCTTTTCCAGGGTTACTTCCCTTCTTCTTTTAATGCCACTAGGACCAGCTTGAGAGTCACTGGACCTCTGTCGCACAACAAATCTGTCTATAGAGGTCTGTAGCTCCCGTTCCTTTAAGATTTGCCTAAAATGGGCCACAACATTGTCATTGTAATAGTCACCAGCATGGCTTGCAATAGCTGTGTTAGGGTGATTTTCATCCATAAAGGTTTGCAGTTCAACCCACTTTGCACACATTTCCTTAATCTTTGAAGTAGGCACAATGGATTCCACAACTGGCATAGGCATCTCAGGGTTAGCCCCAAACCTTTCAAAATCTTTCTTAATTTCCATACTAATTCTCACCCTTTTTATCACAGGGTTGGCACTAGAAGCTTTTTTGGGGCCCATGGTGACTTATTTTTCAGGTACAATCACTAAAAACACTGTGATAACATGAAATGTTCCGATTGTATGCGTGGATGCGACCACACTGGCTGGCTTGTAAACAATGGCACCCACGGGACAACTGAGGCTCGCTCAGGCCACACGTGGACGCGTCTCGAACGAATCGCAACCTGGCCACAATTTTCTACAAGCAGAATTCCAAGTCCTGGAAGTCACTCCCTCCCAAGCCTTACATATAAAGCTTCTGCAGTTGAAGATATTGAAATGATTCCTTCAGAACTCTCTTTGGGTCAACTGAGTGTCCAAGGTCACTTCAAAGCACTTTTCAAACACTGCTTTGGTGTAGAGTTTTCTGAAGTTAGAAATGACCTGCTGGTCCATGGGCTGGAGGAGAGGAGTGGTGTTAGGAGGCAAGAACTTCACTTTTATAAAATTGAAGTCCCTAAACACTTGGTCTTCCAAGTCTGGAGGATGTGCAAGAGCATTGTCCAGTATCAGGAGGCACTTGAGTGGCAATTTCTTTTCCAGGAGATATTTTTTCACACTTGGGCCAAACACATCATTAACCCAATCTTTGAAAATTTGCCTTGTGACCCATGCCTTATGATTAGCTTTCCACATTACACCCAATCTATTCTTGACGACATTGCTTTTCTTAAAAACCATACCCCGGCCGGGATTGAACCCGCGGTCATAGAGTCTCAAAACTCCAGCCCGTCGCATTAGCCACTAGACCAGCTAGCCACAATAAGATTCGTCCAACTAGGTATATTTCTACACCATAGGAAGGTTAGCACAGGCACCACTGTGACCACAAATGCAAGTTTTTACAGACGAATCTCCAGCTAGCATGGCCGTGACAAACTTCGTCTGTAAAAACTTGCATTTGTGGTCACAGTGGTGCCTGTGCTAACCTTCCTATGGTGTAGAAATATACCTAGTTGGACGAATCTTATTGTGGCTAGCTGGTCTAGTGGCTAACGCGACGGGCTGGAGTTTTGAGACTCTATGACCGCGGGTTCAATCCTGGCCGGGGTATGATTTGTTTGCAATCGTGTCATTACGATTTCGTGAGTCATGTTGACGGCAGTGAAGGGACTTGAGCTAGAGTTCGTCACGGCCACACTAGCTGGAGATTCGTCTGTAAAAACTTGCATTTGTGGTCACAGTGGTGTCTGTGCTAACCTTCCTATGGTGTAGAAATATACCTAGTTGGACGAATCTTATTGTGGCTAGCTGGTCTAGTGGCTAACGTGACGGGCTGGAGTTTTGAGACTCTATGACCGCGGGTTCAATCCCAGCCGGGGTATGGTTTGTTTGCAATCGTGTCATTACGATTTCGTGAGTCGAATCTTGCTTTTCTTGAACACTGGGATTTTCTGAGTGATACACCAGTAAAGGCTTCACTTTGAAATCCCCACTAGCATTACCACACAACAAAAAATTAAGCCTGTCTTTCATAGGCTTGTGTCCTGGCAGTGCCTTTTCCTCCTGTTTGGCATTTTCTTCCAAAACAGGCCTGTTTCATCACAGTTGAACACTTGTTGGGTTCAAATCCTTCAGCCTTTACATAGTCCTTGAATTCCTGTACATACTTTTCAGCTGCACATTTATCAGAACTTGCAGCCTCTCCTTACAACACTGTGTATGCCACTACGCTTCTTAAATCTCTCAAACCAGCCTTTGCTGGCCCTAAATTCACTACTGGCAGCACTTGTTCCAGGAGTTTTCTGCAGAAGATCCTCATGTAACTGCTTTGCCTTCTCACAAATAATAGATTCCACAACACTGTCTCCCACTAATTGTTTTTCCTTAATCCACAATAACAACAACTTTTCCATCTGTTCCATTATTGGTGACCTTGGTTTTGTTAGAAACGTTACTCCTTTCCTTGATTTGTTCTTTCTTTGCCAGGATGGATGTAATTGTTGATTTGTTTTTCCTGTACATCCTGGCAAGTTCCAGCACCCGCATACCACGCTCATATTTATCAGTCACTTCACGCTTAAATTCCATGGCGTTTCTCACTTTTTTTACCCCAGGAACTTTACTAGGAACTCTCTTTGGAGCCTTGGTTACTTATTTCGCAGTTACACTGCAAAAAAAACACAAAAAACAAGGGAAAACAAGTGAAATGTTTTTATGTATGAGCAGAAACTTCCTCACACACCAAGAGGCACAGCCAAATTTATATGCAAGCGGACAGACACGTCCGAAACAGCCGATCACTGAAATAATGGCCAATCACCGGGAGCCGAAAAGCCGGCTGATCACCGAATTGGCCAACAACAGGAACGGCTGATAACCGAGGGTCCACTGTATATGTTTTTTAATAAATCCTCATTTAGATTATTCATAACAGTTCTGCTCTCCATATCTCAGAAAAGCATACTCACTGGAGAGCATTATCTATATAGAATGATGACAAAGTAAATCCCTTGTACAGTGGTCCCTCGTTTATCATCATTATAGTAATTCCAGTTTATATTTCAGTACAGCCTCTCCTCACTTAACAACATACTAGTTTACCAACGACTCAGACTTACGGTGGGCTCTCTGACCAGCATGCATGCCTAAATAATGTATATTAGAGCTGATTTCCTCTATTCTGTTTATTACAATGTACAGTACACTACTGTATAATTCAGAGACAACTCACTCAGAAATGTTCAAGATATGTCAAAGTATTTTATCCACAGTGGTATATTACAGACCATTCTGGAAAAATACCTTGACTTTGCTCCCTGTAAATAAAGCATTACTGTGTGTGTGTGTGTGTGTGTGTGTGTGTGTGTGTGTGTGTGTGTGTGTGTGTGGTGTGTGTGTGTGTGTGTGTGTGTGTGTACTCACCTAGTTGTACTCACCTAGTTGAGGTTGCGGGGGTCGAGTCCGAGCTCCTGGCCCCGCCTCTTCACTGATCGCTACTAGGTCACTCTCCCTGAGCCGTGAGCTTTATCATACCTCTGCTTAAAGCTATGTATGGATCCTGCCTCCACTACATCACTTCCCAAACTATTCCACTTACTGACTACTCTGTGGCTGAAGAAATACTTCCTAACATCCCTGTGATTCATCTGTGTCTTCAGCTTCCAACTGTGTCCCCTTGTTACTGTGTCCAATCTCTGGAACATCCTGTCTTTGTCCACCTTGTCAATTCCTCTCAGTATTTTGTATGTCGTTATCATGTCCCCCCTATCTCTCCTGTCCTCCAGTGTCATCAGGTTGATTTCCCTTAACCTCTCCTCGTAGGACATACCTCTTAGCTCTGGGACTAGTCTTGTTGCAAACCTTTGCACTTTCTCTAGTTTCTTACGTGCTTGGCTAGGTGTGGGTTCCAAACTGGTGCCGCATACTCCAATATGGTGCACACTGACCACACAGACCCATTCTCTCACATGTGGGTCTACCAGCTTTCTCCTGCTTGATTTGAAGCCGCTAGAATTTATACGTATTAATGTGTCTGAAACACTGGCTCGTAAGACGTGTATATGACCAAAACAGTCAAAGGGTTAAAGACCATAACAAGACAAAGATCACGACAGCCAAGATGATGGGGGTGGGTAGTGAGAACTTTCAAAACAAGGGAAATAATGCTGATAGTGACACTCTTCAAATCGCTAGTGCTCCCTCACTTAGAGTATTGCTCAGTGCTGATGGCCCCATTCAAGGCAGGAGAAATATCTGAGCTGGAACAAATACAGTAATCGTTTATGGCTCACATTGAGCCTGTAAAGCACCTAAACTACTGGGAACACCTGCAAGTCTTGAACATGTATTCATTGGAGTGGAAAAGAGAGAGGTGCATGATAAGTATATACCTGGAAGGTACTCGAGGGCTTGGTCCCAAATCTGCACACTGCCATAACAACATAATGGAGTGAGAGATATGGGAGGAAGTGTAAAATAAACCCAGTGAGGAGCAGGGGTGCAGTGGGGACAATAGGGGAACACTGTATCAACATCCGGGGTCCCAGATTATTCAACATTTTACCAGAGGATATCAGAAACACAGCTGGAACCAAGTGTAGAAGCCTTCAAGAGGAAACTGGACAAGTATCTTCACCAGGTGCCAGATCAACCAGGCTGTGATGGATATGTGGGGCAGCGGGCCTCCAGCAGCAACAGCCTGATTGACCAGGGAAGCACCAGATGAGCCTGACCCATGGCCGGGCTCAGAGAGTAGACAAACTCTCGAAACTCTTCAAAGGTATCAAAGGTAAGCTATAGTTCTAGCACACTCTTTTGTCCCCTTTGCCTTTATACAAAGGAACGAGGTAACGAGGTTCTGACCAGAGCTTTGGTAAGATGGGGCAGGAAGAAGGATGGGTAAGGATGGAATGTTGGAAAGGTTTAGGAGGGTGGTGGGGTAGATGGAGTTTTAAACGTAAGTGGCCTATCCACTTTGGTGCAATTTAAATACGTGTGTGTATGTTGTGTAATTCATAGAAAAGTTGACTTCATGAGATAGGTATGCCTCCTGCCCATCAGCTGCACACTGTTATATTGTCTGTATACCAGTGTGACACTAAATTGGAAGGATGCATACTGTTTGCAATTGCCTTTTTTTCGCAAGAGGTTGGTCGTAAGGCCGCAGCTGCAGGTATGCATGCTCTCTACGAATCCCTAGGTACCTTACCCTCTTCCATACATTTATTAAATAAAAAAAACTAACCACTCCAAAACTGTATCCCCACCTGCTTTTAACATTTCTATCCTTATCCCATCAATCCCAGCTACTTTACCTCCTTTCATTCTACTCACTTCCCCCACACTTACAACTGGTTCTTCCTCACTCCTATAAGATGTTATTCCTTCTTGCCCTATACACGAAATCACAGCTTCCCTATCTTCATCAACATTTAACAATTCCTCAGAATATTCCCGATACCTCCAACTCTCCATTTAGTAACTCTCCACTCTTATTTTTAACTAACAAATCCATTCTTTCCCTAGGCTTTCTCAACTTATTAATCTCACTCCAAAACTTTTTCTTATTGTCAACAAAATTTGTTGATAACATCTCACCCACTCTCTCATTTGCTTTCTTTTTACATTGCTTCACTACTCTTTTAACCTCTCTTTTTCTCTCCATATACTCCTCCCTAAACTAAAGCTACCTTATAAATATTTAAAAATACTCCAGAAATGTTATAAATGGTTCAAAGGTGACATTAAAACAAAACCACAGATGGTTGACATAAACCCACTACCATTATAGTATGCTCCTCACTTAGTGACGAATTCATTTACCGATGTGGTCTTAGGAACGGAACTCTGTCGTTAAGTGAGGAGAGGCTATAAATCACTCATTTTTGTAGTTTACTGTCTTTTGGGAGCATAGTGTTTACTAACGTTACATTTTTCAGACTAATATGGAGGGGTTCCAATTACATCAGGGTTCCTGCATTTATTGTTCACTTTCACTTAGTTTTAAGTCTAATGTTATACCTTAAATTGTGTCAGTAATATTCTTGGAAATGTAATTTAATGTATAATAACTTCCTAGGTTTTAATTTTAACAGTTTTTCAACCATTTCAGATTTTTTAAGGGTGATGTGATCATGAAGTTTTTCATTCATAACTGGTAAACTACTGTGAATAGCTAATACAAGAAAATTATCCTTGTGTGAAAATCCAGTAGAGCACAAGATGACACAGCACATTCACAGTTACTCTGGTCAGAGCTATGACCGCTGGGTTGAGCGTAATTCAAGTAGCTCCACGCTAGGCAAGGTCCAAAAGCAGTTTTGGTTTACCAAAAGTGCTGTCATACGTAAGTTTGGAAAGAAAGAAGATGAGCATGTGGTTGCTTCTGATGCTGAACTGGATGCCAAAATAGAGCTCTTCAAGACTATAGAATCTAGCACCAAAGATCTGCAGGTATGGAAAATGTTAAAAAAATAACAAATAATATAATATCTATTTCTTCAAGTACATATGCAAGGTATATAGGGTTAGCTGACATCTATGACAAACTACTGTATAGAAAGCTGCATTTCTGGCAAATTAGGTCAGTTTTATCCTGAGATGCAACCCACACCAGTTGACTAACATCCAGATACCCATTTAATACTGATGGGTGAACATTAGCAGCTGGTGTTAGGAAACACACCCAGTGTTTCATCCCTCGCTGGGAACTATGGAATATTGACGAAATTGCACTTGTGCAAATTTTGCTGTGTCAGCGACGTTTACGCATTGGCGATTTTGCCCACTTTGAGTCCTATTTTAGACCAATTACAGTGATCCAGTAGACCAAATTCTTAGCTATTTCAATGGTATATCTTCTATTTTATCAGTTGAGCACATGAAACCAACCACTTAGTCGACTATTTCAACTAACCAGTAAAGTGATCAGTCATTGGTAACAATTTGGCCAATTTCACACAAATTTCCAAATACACCTACCATCCGACTTACAACCTGCTCGACTTACGACCACTCGAGTTGCGACCGTGTTTTTTATGCCAAATTTCTGGGAAATAAACAACTATTTGTGTTGTACACAGTGTTTATCCTAAACCTTACAGTATAAAATACAGTACAAACAGCATAAAAAGTAAAGTAAAACATGAAATACCAAAATAAAACAATAAAATAAAGTCATTACAAAAATGTGATGTTGATATTCAGTAGTAAAGTTCGACTTACGACCATTTCGACTTACGACCGGTTTCTCGGAACCGAACTCGGTCGTAAGTCGGATGGTAGGTGTATTCCAGTTTCAAAATAGGGTCCAGAATAAACAGTGCAGGCATTCCTAGCACTAAAATGACGTTTTCTCTGTTCATTAGTTATGTTCCCAAACTTTACGTATGAATTCCATTTTGATTTTTTTTCACACAAAAAATTTTTATTCACACAAAAAAAAAAAACAGAAAATTTACCATTATGCAGTATTGTAATAATTGTATAAATAATATAAGTGCATTTGTGAATGCGTATTAAACCCACCAGTTGGATATGTACTATATTAAACAACCATGGTGACATTATACATCCCTGTCTAAGACCTACTTGTACTGGGAAGTAGTAAGATAAGATAAGATTTCGTTCGGATTTTTAACCCCGGAGGGTTAGCCACCCAGGATAACCCAAGAAAGTCAGTGCGTCATCGAGGACTGTCTAACTTATTTCCATTGGGGTCCTCAAATCTTGTCCCCCAGGATGCGACCCACACCAGTCGACTAACACCCAGGTACCTAATTGCTGCTAGGTGAACAGGACAATAGGTGTAAGGAAACGTGTCGAAATGTTTCCACCTGCCGGGAATCAAACCCGGGCCCTCCGTGTGTGAAGCGGGAGCTTTAGCCACCAGGCCACCGAACCACTCTCTTCTGCACACCCTAACCTGAGCCTCACTATCCTCATAAAAACTCTTTACAGCATTTAGTAACTTACCACCTATTCCATATACTTGCAACATCTACCACAGCGCTCCCCTATCCACTCTATCATATGCATTTTCTAAATCCATAACTTGCAATAAAAACTTCCCTACCTTTATCTAAATACTGCTCACATATATGCTTCAATGTAAACACTTGATCTACACATCCCCTACCCACTCTAAAACCTCCTTGCTCATCAGCAATTCTACATTCTGTCTTACCTCTAATTCTTTCAATAATAACCCTACCGTACACTTTTCCTGGTATACTCAGCAAACTTATTCCTTTATAATTTTTACAATCTCTTTTGTCCCCCTTCCCTTTATATAAAGGGACTATACACGCTCTCTGCCAATCCCTAGGTACCTTCCCCTCTTTCGTACACTTATTAAACAAAAATACCAACCACTCCAACACTATGTCCCCCCCTGCTTTTAACATTTCTGTCATGATCCCGTCAGTTCCAGCTGCTTTACCCCCTTTCATTCTACGTAATGCCTCACGCACCTTCCCCACACTCACACCCTGCTCTTCTTCACTCCTAAAAGATGATATACCTCCCTAGCCAGTGCATGAAATTACCGCCTCCCTTTCTTCGTCGACATTTAAAAGTTCCTCAAAATATTCTCGCCATCTACCCAAAACCTCCATCTCCCCATCTACTAACTCCCCTACTCTGTTTTTAACTGATAAATCCATTTGTTCCCTAGGCTTTCTTAACTTGTTTAACTCACTCCAAATTTTTTTCTTATTTTCATTAAAATTCCTTGACAGTACCTCTCCCACACTATCATCCGCTCTCCTTTTGCACTCTCTCACCACTCTCTTCACCTTTCTTTTACTCTCCATATACTCTACTCTTCTTATAAAACTTTTGCTTTGTAAATACCTCTCATAAGCTACCTTTTTCTCTTTTATCACACCCTTTACTTCATCATTCCTCCAATCATTCCTCTTTCCTCCTGCACCCACCCTCCTATAACCACAAACTTCTGCCCCACATTCTAATACTGCATTTTTAAAACTATTCTAACCCTCTTCAACCCCCCCACTACTCATACCTGCACCAGCCCACCTTTCTGCCAATAGTTGCTTATATTTCACCCGAACTTCCTCCTCCCTTAGTTTATACACTTTCACCTCCCTCTTACTTGTTGTTGTCATTTTCCTCTTATCCCATCTACCTCTTACTCTAACTGTAGCTACAACTAGATAATGATCCGATATATCAGTTGCCCCTCTATAAACGTGTACATCCTGGAGCCTACCCATCAACCTTTTATCCACCAATACATAATCTAACAAACTACTTTCATTACGTGCTACATCATACCTTGTATATTTATTTATCCTCTTTTTCATAAAATATGTATTACTCATTACCAAATCTCTTTCTACACATAGCTCAATTTAAGGCTCCCCATTTTCATTTACCCCTGGCACCCCAAATTTACCTACTACTCCCTCCACAACATTTTTTCCCACTTTAGCATTAAAATCCCCAACCACAAGTACTCTCACACTTGGTTCAAAACTCCCCATGCAATTACTCAACATTTCCCAAAATCTCTCTCTCTCTCCTATATACTTCTCTCTTCCCCAGGTGCATATACGCTTACTATAACCCACTTTTCACACCCAACCTTTATTTTACTCCACATAATCCTTGAATTAATACATTTATAGTCCCTCTTTTCCTGCCATAGCTTATCCTTCAACATTATTGCTTCTCCTTCTTTAGCTCTAACTCTATTAGAAACCCCTGACCTAATCCCATTTATTCCTCTCCACTGAAACTCACCCACCCCCTTCAGCTTTGTTTCACTTAAAGCCAGGATATCCAGCTTCTTCTCATTCATAACTTACCTTAAAATATTTGTAGTCTTAATGTAGGGTGAGAGGTGAAAAGTATTTATTTGTAGAAAGTCGTGTGGGAGGTATGGTATCCTGCCTGGTCACTTATACCTACTACGATATTAAGCTCCCTAGAGCGATAAAATGCATGTATAGTACACTCATTAATTACCTTATAATATTTGTAGTCTTAATGTAGGGTGAGAGGTGAGTTTTATTTGTATGAAGTCAGGTTGGGAAGTATGAGTAGCCATGAAGGGCAGCCCTCGCCACCCCACCCACCCACATAATGTAAACAAACCAGATGAACATGTCTGGTTTTCGTCACAAGTCCTATAAGTTGCCTGGCTACCACAAGTCCTACAGGTTGCCTGGATACCACTAGTTCTGTAAGTTGCCTGGCTACCACAAGTCCTACAGGTTGCCTGGCTACCACTAGTTCTATAAGTTGCCTGGCTACCACAAGTCCTACAAGTTGCCTGGCTACCACTAGTCCTATAAGTTGCCTGGCTACCACAAGTCCTACAAGTTGCCTGGATACCACAAGTCCTACAAGTTGCCTGGCTACCACAAGTCCTACAAGTTGCCTGGATACCACAAGTCCTACAAGTTGCTTGGATACCACAAGTCCTACAAGTTGCCTGGCTACCACAAGTCCTACAAGTTACCTGGCTACCACAAGTCCTATAAGTTGCCTGGCTACCACAAGTCCTACAAGTTGCCTGGCTACCACAAGTCCTACAAGTTGCCTGGCTACCACAAGTCCTACAAGTTACTTGGCTACCGCAAGTCCTACAAGTTGCCTGGCTACCACTAGGCCTATAAGTTGCCTGGCTACCACAAGTCCTACAAGCTGCCTGGCTACCACAAGTCCTACAAGTTGCCTGGATACCATAAGTCCTACAAGTTGCCTGGATACCACAAGTCCTACAAGTTGCCTAGATACCACAAGTCCTACAAGTTGCCTGGCTACCACAAGTCCTACAAGTTGCCTGGATACCACAAGTCCTACAAGTTGCCTGGCTACCACAAGTCCTACAAGTTGCCTGGCTACCACAAGTCCTACAAGTTGCCTGGCTACCACAAGTCCTACAAGTTGCCTGGCTACCACAAGTCCTACAAGTTGCCTGGATACCACAAGTCCTACAAGTTGCCTGGATACCACAAGTCCTACAAGTTGCCTGGCTACCACAAGTCCTACAAGTTGCCTGGCTACCACAAGTCCTACAAGTCACCTGGCTACCACATCTCATATTTATGTTAATTTATTCTACTGTGGGGTGTATTTAGATGGATTACGCAAAATGTCTATATTAACGTTTTATACGATATTTAATGCTCCTTAGAGTGATTATTATTGTGTTGTTATTATTATCATTATTAATATGGCATCTTCAAGACTGATAAGACACTCTTAGTGATTTTAATGTGTACCTACATGCCAGCACAGTGTGTAAGTTTATTTAGGTACAGGTACAAATACATATAATTATCAGTTATAATAATAATGTAGGTATGTAGTCTGCCTGGGCCACATATCTACACCTACCTACATAGCTACACAATATTTAATGTGGTCCAGAGACATATTATTACCATCAACATACCATGTTCACTGAGTTTAATCATTTCTAA